GCTCGCCTTGAGGTTCTGAGTACGATGGGAAGTGTGAATTCGAGTTAGTCGGAGGGACGAGGTGCACTAAGGACATTGCGGCGTATAATACCAGTTATTAATCAGTAAAGATGAATACGTGAATTAAAAGTTGTAAGAAATTGCCTATGGTCACTTACAAAAGAAAGACATGGTAGCGGTGGTGGAAGGTGGCAGCTTTGAGCTGATAGTTCGCCGGAGATGAAGACGCTGGAAATCTTCAGGTATAGAAATTGGCGGAGATGCAAATGCGGAGATAAAAGGGAAGATTGAGTGGCAACTCTCGTATTTATAGAGATGCGGCAGGGGGAAGGTCAGCTGATCGGGTACGTCCAATTTAAAATTCTATCAACGGTTAAAACAAGTTGAGTGTGCGCGAAGGGTTCAGATTACGATATGACGAGCGACAAGAATGATGTCATATCTGAGATTCGATGAACGACCATCATTACACCGAGGATTAATAATGACGCGCGTCAGGAGTTCTGACATGCGCCGATTCAGATATGATGGGTGGAACTGATAAAGGCGGTGTCATGTGCGATGCACGTACAAAAAGAAGTGTGAGCCGCACACGCCTTTGCTGTGGCATTTTTTTGGCCGACCTAAGAAAGTTCGTCTCAAATATTGGGGGTCTAGATGATATGGCATTTAGAATGCGGATTGAAGAGCAAGCAAGTTCGGCCGGCCAAGCTGACCCAGAATCTTTAGTGGTCACGATGTTGGCCACCATGCTGGGAACTAGATGAGCTCGGCCTGAGGGTTTGGGAATCAGGTAATTATGAGGCAAAGGTTTCAGCTCAAGAAGCCAATGCTTGTCAATGAGTAGGGGATCGAGGGTAGCTCGGCAAGATTGAGCGAAGGATCGGATGATAGTGGTCGAGCTTCCATCCCTAGGACAGTCTGAGATGGTGTGTTCCGTGCGGAGATAGGACTACCGAAGTCTCATCAAAGGGTTTGGGATCGGATAGAACTCTATAATGGTCGGGTTCTCTAGGGAGAGGTGTACAAAGAAAGGAATCTCATACCCAAAGTCCTATTATGCAGAGACTCTTGGGCCTATATAAGTGGCATGTTCTTTTATCTATAAATAAGAATACACACACGCATATCTTTCGACATCCTACCATTTCTCCTAAGACCCTACTGACTTGAGCATCGGGTGTTCGCGTCGGGTCCATCCCCGGCGTGTTTTGCAGGTACCGACGATTGAGAAGACCACATCCGGTTCAAAGAAGAGCGGTCAGTCGGTTCACAAATTCGTGGCACAACAAAGAGGTAGTGGTGATCTACTTATCTCATGGTGATAATCATGATGATTGACCTCTAGTGGAGGTCTGATTTGTCACCAAAATTAGAGTTTTGGCAATAAAGGTGTTATGCCACCTAGGAATGTAGGATAACGCCACGTGCATCCATGCAAAAGTTGATGAAACATGTGGCACGGTGCTGCCAACTTTAAGATGGTTAGAGTGATTGGCAATCTTAGTCGAGAAGCTTATGTGGGCGATTGTCGTGCCGATCAAGTGATCAACAACCCTAATGGTGATCATGTGAGCCAGTTGTGGAGTGATCTTTGCGGTCCTAGATCTTGCTCGTTCCCTTGGGCCGATAGTAAAATGTGAGCCTTATCATTCCATATGATCGGAAATTTAAGTGTACAACACTAGCCTAATGCTATCACTTGTACTCTAAATCCTAATGATAATAACGGACATGTGTGGGCGGTATTTATCCCTTTAATTCATAAAATGGTTACACTTTTTCGTTAAGTCAATGGTCTGGGTGACTTGGGGAGTAATATTGTGTTGTTGATTACATATGACTATTGTGTCCTGGTGTCAGGGTTATGACGTCCTTGAAATGAGCTCAAAAGAATTATAGTTGCTAAACCATGCATATGAATTTTATTCCGCATAATGATAAGGTTAAGTGGTATTAGTTTTGAAGAAAATCAAAATATTAATTAATTAAAATATCTGTAATTAAATTGATTAATGGACGCACTATAGCTTAAACATTGGAAGACTTCAAAAAATTAATTAAAATGTCAAATTTTTTTTTTTTAAAAAAAATAATAATAATAATAATAATAACCATTCCCACCATACAAGGGATTTAAGATATTTGGAGACTGGTGGATAACTGAAATCCAATCCTATGTTTGGAGACTTCACTCGTAATGCTAAATTGTAATTCTCCAAGTAGATGTGCTGCTAAATTTCACTGCCAAATTTTAATTCAAGTAATTTTCGATGGATGTATGATGAAGTATGAGTGTTCAGTAGTCTTCAGTTAATAGGACGGTTTTAAACGCAGTGAGTGGTCAGTTAATATGATATATGAGTTTTAAACGCAATGAGTGGTCAGTTAATATGATACATATAAATCTTCAGTTAAATGCACCGTGAGTTGTAGTTTAATTACAACTCACTATTTATTGATGGTACCAATGTTTAATTACAACTCACTATTTATTAACTTAACTTATTGTGCACTTCACTAATTATTTATTAACTTTACGTTTATAATTTTATATAGAATAAATTATAAAAGTTAGCATACAATATTTTAATATTACTAATATAACTGTAAATTGTATAAGGAAATACAAACCAAAACAAAAGATGCTACAAGAAAATGATTATCATATAGATAGCTGACACATAGGATTAAAATATATTGTAGTCCATTGAGAAAAGTTGTAGAAGAAACTAAATCATTAACTAAAATCTAGGAAAACTAAATATTCCATAGAGAAAAATTGCTAATGAAATTATATCTTTAATTATTATTAATATTTTGACGAGCAGCCGATCTTGAGACACCGGATATGTTATCCTCCGTGCCTGAGATACCGGAGAAGGTGAATCGAAAATTTTGCCGCCGGATCGTCGAGATGTAGTGGTCGTGGAGTCTGGGAGACCAAGGAGATGAATTGGAAAATTGGTCGCTGACTCGTGGGATGTAATGGTCGCGGAGTCTGGGAAAACATAGGTGATTTTGGAAATACGGAAAGTGATGGACTTTGGGTTCGTGAGAGAGTGAAATGAAAGTACATGAAACTAACACTCATAATTCAATAATTTCATTATAGTATTAAATATTTTTTTTAAAAGTTGTATCATTTTGATTCTGTTCAGTTTTAACTGAACCAGCTTCATATGGCAGTACTGACATCGAATCGAGTTAATCGATTACCATTATAAATTACTCGATACGATGCGGTTTATTTTCTCGTGAATTCAGTTCGACTTTTCAATTTTGGTAAATATACCACTCCTTTTATTGTGTGTGTGTGTGTGTGTGTGTACTATAATATAAACAAAAGCGGGTGAGGCCGGGGTGGTTGAGCATGGACGGGCTAGGCCGGTGCATGATTTAAGACTCAGAAGTAGTCCGCTCAGCTAACGACATAAATAAAATATTTATATTTTATATTAAAATTATATAAATTAGAATATGCTACAATTTTAAGACTTTAAATTGAAACCATGTATATGTATTTGTAACATAAGGAGTTAGTCAAAAAATAATTACTAATACAAACATAATTGTTTAAATACATTTCGATTTTTAAAGTATATTCCGTATCTAGATCTTTGTTACTATTGTAACAACTAAAATTTAGTTGCAAATTTTGGTTACTAGTGCAAAAATTTCTAGTAGTGATTGACTAGCAAAATTAAAGATAAATAAGACTTATGCAGAAATAAATATTTTGCCGAAAAATGATTAATTTATTTTTTGATTTTCTTATACAAATTTATATATCTATTTATATACATATATTTAACCATAGATTCCATGAATATCATTCCATTCTATATTATACTTCATTATTCAACACATTTTATATGATTTATCATAAAATATGTCCTCTTTATGAAACTAAAGGAAAATAATATAATATAATTTATGTATAAATCCAATATAAAACGCGGAATTACAAATCACCAAAAAAATATTTACAATCCAATGTGTGGCACGTTTTTTCTTCCTAGGAACTTGAAAACCTAGCAAATTTCTGCAGCAACTTGATTGCTTAGAAATGATCACAAATTGTCATTTTTGGGAATGTAGGGTGAAGATGGCAAGGAAGCTCTTCCAAGAATATCATGACGAGACATAATAAAGTAACCATGATAAAAGATGGACAAGAAATGACAAAATGATAATTTGTTGGTTAACAAATAACAATACCTTCTGCAACATAAGTTTATACTTCACACTAAAAGTACAAACAGAGAAGTAGCCGAATTCAGGAAGTATTTTTGAGTTCATGTGGATCAATTTCCTGCTCATCCAGTGCAGTCAACACTCAACTGCACTGAAGGTATTCCGATTGTGTTTCATGTTTTTATTATTCCTGTTTTTATACGGAGGTGTCTAACATCACTCGGTACGTTACAGGCAAAAAGATTAGCAACCTGAAATTACAGTACAAAACTATTTTTTCATAATAATTTCATAATGCCATCATGACCTTACTGTTTCTTAATAGCAAGAAAGCAGCATCGTATTCTTGATTCATCGACAGCCTCATAAATTTAGGTTCACAGTTCCAACTTCCTGCTCCATGATTTGAATTAATATCCCAACTAACTCACTTAGTTACACTCATGTCAAGACCTTGCCTATTTTAACGGTTTAAACAGCCTCCACTCATCTCCAAACTACAGTTGAAAGTGGGTAGATCTTTTTGTGTACGCAGTACGTATTCTGTGTCACTAGTGTTTCATATTAGCACTCACCAATTTGCTGTCTTTGATCTGTAATCTGTCCTCTACAGTCAATAATAACTAATGCCTGAAATATTTGATAATTCAAGACTAAAAACCAAGCAGAAGTAAAAACACACATTATCACTAAATTTGTGTAGGTTTTCATAAGTTGGCTATCCTCGTTCAACTCAACAATTTATAATACAACAAATCAGATACTTATGACGAACTTTAACCATGATAATCGATAATGCTCTTTTAGATCTCACCCGTCCCTAGAGGCTGCCTAGAAGTGTCTCCTGAAGCCCAGGCTTCATAGTCCTTCACTAACTGCAAAATATCAAAATTGAATTTTTCAAATTATCTTGTTCACCTACTGGTTTCGTGCAAACTTTACATTCAGCTGCAAAGGATGGCCAATATTTTTAACTTACACAACATTTCTGTATACATTCAAACACATCATACCAAAACTCAAAAGTAACTCAAGATGCTGAAAGATAGTGTTCCAAATTATTATGCTGGAGAATTCATGCATACATGTATTCGTAACAGGACAAGGAGAAAATGGAAGAGTAAACACATAATTATTGCAGGAAAGTCTTACACCGCATACAGAAAAAGGAATAGATGCAGACCTGAGACAGGAATTTTGGAAGCATGGCCTTCAGTATCTGGTCTAGCACTTGGGAGCCAGCTGATTCAATGGCCTGCGTAGGAATTGCGCGAAATGCAAATGGGACTTCAATGCTAACCTGAACATGGGGTATCAATAGCATCAAACCACTTGGCAAGCACTGTGGTCTGTGGCATTAGGAACGACTTGAATGGGTGAAATATTAGAACTACCTCAATCACTGCATCTGAAGTCAACTTCTGAACAGGTGAATCATCTCTTGTCCTATCACATGATATCTTATTCTCCATCGAAGCTGCATGCCCATACCAAATAAGTGTCAAAGTACTCCTGAAAAGAATTATATATCAATATTGAGAATCAAGCGACACTACATCAGAAGGATAAATAATCCTACATCCAATATACAATGATATAACCACCCAATTTCAGAGAACACAGTAGAATGTGAGACACAAATCATTAGCATGGCTTTTATCAACATAAAAGTGTCAACTTAACAGGACTAACCACAACTCATTTCACACAGTAATGTATTCCAGCATCTGATCCATGGCAGGAAGTTGAGGGATCATTATGATACAGCAGAGAAAACAAAAGGAGCGCATTTGATTCCATCCACCTTATATGATGGGCCCATTACTAGGCAAATAAATCAAATTATTCTCCAGAGTCCTCAGGCTCACACAAAGTACTAATAACTCAATTTTATTGAAACTGTTAAAGAACCTGTCGCTAATCCTTCACTAGTTCACATGACTAAATTTAAGGCTTTTCAGACTAAATATATTTAGCATTAAAAAAATCCTGCAAGAAATAATCATGTTTGAATTCGCCTTGCAATAATGAAACCTCTTAATGCAAAAGGTTAATAAGAATATATGCTAGCCCTCAGAGTTTTGATGCAGCTTTTGCAATGGAATAAAATCAACTGCACAATGATTTGATCTGCATAGGTACTGGAGAAGTTAATGACTTTTAACTTTGGAGAATTGCTGAAAGTGTTTAGTGGCATTTATATGGATGATGCAGAGAAGTATTGTTTTCTTTGAGCCGCATGAGCAATTTCTCAGTGTGAATTCGGAACAATTGCCAATCTACTACAGTGCATGCAACTAGGCATTTTTTCAACATAGTTGTGCTAGAGAAGCCACAGATTCGACATGAATATGCTAATAGAAACTAGCAAGAAGCAAATTGATAAATTGATTAAAACAGTAGTCTCGCTAGTTATTTCTATTTCGCTAGTTATTTCTATTTTTGAAGAATTTTATATATTTGCTCTATCATTTATTTATTTGGACTTTGAAAGCTTGAAATCCAGGAGTAGTCCCCCATGCTCCGATCCAATAACATTTGCTTGCATCACAGGCATGGTCTCTTTGATGGCTCCTCCACTCATTACACTTGATTTGTTGCCCACGTTAGGACCTATCATAAGCTTACCATTCTTATTCATCTAGGATTTCTGTGTTTTCATGAATAAGGAGCGACATCCATGGCAGAATTAAATAAGCTAAAGAAAGTCATTGTTACACCGATACAACAACAACAACATAGCCTTTTAGTCCCAAACAAGTTGGGGTAGGCTCATTGTTACACCGATAAAAATGGAAAAAAAGAATTGCAAAAGTATATGAAAGATAATAACCGCAACTTTCTACTAAAATCTAAGGACTGAATGTAACAAAGATTTGCCTACAACTTAAGCAACTACTTAATCGTAACTTGCTAATGATCTTAGTCAAGTGAAATAATGACAGGCCATATTCACCTATAAGTCAACAAACCACAGATAGAGCGACTTAACTATAGTATGTATCACGAATTTCAAACAAATAAACTTTGATCATTTCAACCCAAAGTAAGATATAGGCAGCTTAAGGGGATTTGTTCACTAGTCATGCTTGTCTTTCAGCAGTCACACCACAATTCGCAAATATCGGTACTTGTCTGATAAGATAATTATTGGCCCATATCGCCATCGGACGTGTATATCAAGAAATTCGAAATCAACCAATACGCAAATAAAGAATAAGAAATAAATATAAGATAGGAACAAGGATAACAAAGTAAATTCACTACCGCCTATGAAATACAATATCTCGTATTAAGGAAAGACACTAACCATCAAATTTGTCATTCTGAGCAACAACCATGCGGGAGCCCTCAAGCTGCAATGAAGTCACCATTGTGAACCAAGAGTTTTACTAAAGATAATACTTCTCTACACACAATGTTATTGTCCAGGCACGTGAGGTCCATACCTTGCAAGACAAGAGCTTAATGCAGCAACCATGTGGCTGCTCATCCACCCTCACCAACAAAACAGGGCAAACTTCAACAGTGAAAAAATTAAACCTATAGACATAACACCTGAAGGTGTTATCATCCACTCGCTCTATCCTCTCTGCATCTAACACCGAGTATTGGCTTGCTGGCAAGCTCATGTACTCAACTAAATAAACAAACAGCAAAATCAAAACAAAAGGATGCGGTAAACATACAGAATGTCGGCATGATAGAGATTTATTAAACAAAAAATGACAAAAATGTATTCATACAAAAGGAAAAATGGTAAGGAAAATTAATCCGATAAACAATTGGCCGTAGAATGAAAATTAGAAAGTAAAAATTAAATAATGTATTACTCAGAGGGCGTTGGAGCTGATTGACGGCGACGGACTCCGTCCGGCGGGCAACAAATCTGGCCTTGGGAGAGGAATCGGCGGAAACGCGGAGCATGGGTTTTGAGGAATCGAGTAGCTTGGAGAGGACAATGACGTGTGGAGAATCCGAAAATCTGGACAGGGTTTTAGGGTTTCTGAACCTGACCGAAATAATACTGGAAGTGGAATTTAAGGACGCCATTTCGGATGAAATGTGTTGGGGTTTGGCAATGGATAATGGTGTACGAGATAAATCCGCGATAGCCATAGAACTGTCTGCGGGAGTGGCTTCTGCTTGCCTGGGTTCACTTTAGCGGGACCCAAATATGCGCGACTAATAAGAAATGACTTACTGTTTCTTTTCCTTCAATTAAAATTTTTAATAAAAGAAAGATCAAAAGTCTGAATACGACCATATTGTATCCGTATCAAACTCGCAGGATTGTGGATTTTATGTAATTTTTAGTGATTTTTGTGGATTTTGTAAGATTAGTTAATTGACAATTTTCATGGAATATTTTTAAGACTTTCAATGTAAACTTTTTGGGACTTTCTATTCTAAGACTTTAATATATATATATATTCTCTTATATATATAAAAAAAGAGGAGGGTGTTGCCCTCTCTGCGTGACACCTGTCCGACTCAAAAGAAAAACACCCTTCTAATGAAAACGACGTCGTTTCGCAAGGTTGGTTTTGGACCCTTGGATTTTAGGGATTAAATCTCTACCGTCCGTATGACACCACCTTACGGCTGAACTCTTTCTTCCCCTATCGTTCTCAATCTCCCTTCCACATTCCCCTCTTCCCTTCTCCTCCGAACTCCTTAGGCTGAGATCGCCACTCAATCATCGTCGTACGAACTTTCTTTCTTTAACTCTCTCGCAGGCTGAACTCTCTCTCCCTATGTTTCTCATTCTTCGCGATACACGTCTTGTGTGATTTTCGATTGTTTCTGAGGTGTTCAGGAGAGTCGTTGTTTCGTCGTACAGTCGCTGCATCATTGCCTCCCCCTCTTCGGCCACAGGCCCCCTTTGTGGTGCGTTGGTTGATTTCTTCTGCGGAGAGGGCTTCGCGACTGGAACCGGACCGAGGTTTCATTTGTGTGACGTACAGCCAGGGGAAAGGGCCGACGAACCGGGGTCTCCCTTTTTCACCACCACCAACCCGAGACTTATAGAGAGTGCCGAAGAGGAGGACAATATGAGTGGGAAGACTTCGTCTCTTCATTTCTTAGGCAGATTTCAGCCATTGTAAGGGGGAATCGGACTTACTAAAAAAATTTATCTCTCTTGAGAGTGGTCCTTTCTCTCTCTTGAGAGTTTTTTCATTTCTCGATCTGAGAATTTCCCATCTCTTCTTGCAATCTAGGGTTTGGGTGAAGAGTGTTTTTCCTATAGTGAGGAGTGGTGTTCCCTTTTCTACTCTGCGTATAGGGTTTACCTTGGGGGAGCAGTCATTTATTGAGGGTTCTGCTCAGTGGTAACGTGTGATAGTCACTATGGAGAAAGAGGAGGATGCTTTGAAAACGCTTATGGAGAAATTCTCAATGTCAGAAAATGAGATTTCTTTCATTGATATTGAAGATCGCGATGTCCGCACAAGTGCTGAAGAATGTAGCAGAAGTCGGTTTGGTAAAGTAGTGGGAGATAAACGAGCTAATTGGATTGGGATAAGGAGGGTTATTGCTCAAGCATGGAAGGTGGGTAATGCGTTGGAGGTGAGAGAACTAGACAAAAACTATTTTCAATTCATATTCCAGTCGAAAACTGAAAAGGAAAAGATAGATATGAGAAGAAATTGGACTTTTGACAACCAGTATCTTATTTTGCAGGAGTGGAAGGAAGGGCTTAAGGGTTCACATGAATGTTTCGACTCTTTAGACATCTGGGTGCAAGTGCATAACATTTCTCTGAACTGGCTGAGCACAGAGGTGGGCCTGAAACTCAAAAGAATGTTCAAAAGAATGAAAAGTGTTCACATAGCCAGAATTGGTAATCAAGGAGGGAGAGTGCTGCGGATATGGGCTACTCTTAATCTGCAGGAGCCTATCCCAAGATGGGCTAACATCAGGTTGAGCGAGAATGAAGTGGTGGTTCACTTCAAATATGAGAAGCTGATCAATCTCTGCTAATATTGCGGCAGGATTGGCCATGTTTACAAAAATTGCAACAAAAAAATGTCAGATGTTGGAAAGGATGAGCACAGAGAGGGCCAGTATGGGGAATGGGTTAAGGCAGCAGAAGGAGTTCACTGGATGGATTCCTCAAATGTTAGTAATCACACCTCATCAGGTGACCACCAAGGAGAAGGCAATCAGGGCAATGTCAGCTCATCAAAGAATGGAGA